TGTGTAGGGAATAATGAGATTTCATTATCCTTGAAGTCAGCTAAGATGTTCATGAAGATGAATGTTAGCTGTCAGTGCTAAAATATAGTCACAACGCAAAGTAAACTGGTAAAAGATGTAAGGTACCTTTAAGTGGATTTAAGTTGTTAATGTGGCGATAGCCAGAAGCAAAAATACTTTTGTTATGCGAAATGAATATTTGACTTAATATCCAATGAAAAGTTTCCAGGCTTACTACCTACAGGCGTGTAAACTAATCAAGTTTTAAGAGTCTGTCGGCTAGGGCTTGAACCCCGGACCACGTATGGCAAGGTTGGCTAACATCCTACCATTGAACAACGGACTCACTTTCATACGAGGATACACCTGTTGACTGGGCATTTATATATTGGTTTTCAGGAGAACTGAACACACCTATCCCAGCCTCTTACCAGACCAGAAGAGCATGCACTATAATCCAGTGACGCAACCATTCGAAATTTCTCTCCTCAAGTGGTTCAGTGGTAGAATGCTCTCCAACCACGTACCTTGTCCGGGGTCCAAATCCTAGCCGACGCACTCTTCACCCATGCGTAGGCAGTAGTAAGGCAATTACTCAGGGAAGGCTGTTAGTGAGGCTACCAGCTCCACCCAGTAAAGATGAAACTACCGCTATTGAAACTTCAGAAATTAAACTTTAAGCCTCACATTTCACTCGGAACACAAAGGAGTAAAATAAACACATAACCAGCGAAAATCCTACATGTCAAAAGAATGACAAATGATGATTGTAACTAAGATAGTACAAACACTAGAATATCGTCATTTATCATGAGCAGTTGTAGGAAAAATGTAAGGTTGATATGGTTTGTTCATAATTAGTAAGTGTAAGGCTTTTGAAGATACACTTTCAACAGAGTTATTAATTAATTTAATTTAATTTAATTTTGATTACAGCTTGATTCCACACCGTATTTTCAGTACAAGTGTGGAATTTTCAGCATGGATATCGGTAGCCCAAATTCAGGCCGACCATAGATATCGGGTGTGCGCCGGCAGGGGATCGAACCCTGGACCATGTGCATGGTCGGCGAGAGTCCTAACCACTGTGCCACCGACGCACAGTTTGAGTAAAAGACGTATGTATGCTGTAAGCAATAGAACATGATAATTTATTCTGCTGGTCACTATGATAGAGTAGTTCATTAGCTAACTGATAATTTGAATATGAATAATATTATTATTTCTCCATGTTTCAGGTCTGAAATCGATTGAAAGTTAAATTCCTTAGATCACATTTTTTGTTCTCATTCCTTTGCCTTCCAATAGGATCACAGGGTTCAAAGCTTGAGATCTGAAGTTTCAGCAGCTGTAGTGTTTTTTTCTATGGGGTGGGGTTGCTAGTCTTACACCCAAAATTCTCTCTCTCTACCGAGATTACTACCGATTTAGCGAGGCTTAGGCGTTTATTGACCCTTAATCGGAACTCGGACTACACGCTTGGCAGGCGAGAGTTTTAACACTGAACAGTTGACTCACAACAATCTAATAAACGCCATAAGTAAGTATTTTTAAGTCTCACCATGAACACAGAGTTTTATTCATATTTTGAACAACTGAAACGGATTCACTTTCCAGCGTAAAGCGGTTTCTACGGATCTTTCATGCTTCCAGGAATGAGAATTATTAAAGACATTAGGTTAGTTATTTTACTGAACTTAAATAACATAATTAATTACCCTAAGAAAACCATAATAATCATACATCATAGCATATCACACATACAAAACTGAATACAGGTGAATTTCTATACGGGTATAAACCAATAGTTTGATTTATATTCAATGTTGTCTAACGTAAAAAGAAAATCGACTTCATCTACAAAATCAAATTTTCTTCAGCACCAACTGTCAGAATATTGTTAATATGCCTGCAATAGATAGTTGATGGGTTATGCAAATATGACAAACTGACTGTTATTCCCAAGTTGATTTATCCTCTGCATGAGTAATGAATAACATCATAGATAATGCTTGTTTTTTCTCAAGTAATAACAATACTATCTCTTTTTTATCATTAAGCAACACGCCTAAAAATAAGGCACTTTTATTTTTCTTAGTTAACATTTGATTTGATTAGACTGGCTGAAATTAATGCTAAGATGTCTTTTGAACTTATCATATGGTAATTTGTCTTATAATAATAATCCCCATAAATTTTTCGTGTCTACTATTTTCGAGCATTTATTGAGTCTTTCTAAGGTTTGTATGTAATTTAATATAGTTCTTTTCTGGGGTGTACTGGATGATATAAGGTCTGTGTGTGTGTGTGTGTGTGTCGATCACGTGCTTTCAAGTATTGGTTTGCCGAGATTTTGTTCGATCGGTTGGAGGATTTCATTATAAGCTGACATCGGTTAGAGAACCGTTGGAAAACCCGGCAGTATTGGAGAGCTGTTTAGTCCTGGTTTGGGGCTGTTCAGTAGCTATCCAGTATTCCCAGATTTCCCAATGGTTCTCTAACCAGTATCAGCTCGTGATGAAATCATCCAACCGATCACGTGTTATGTCTTAGCTGTGCATCATATGTTAAATTTTGTGCAGAGCTGTTCTTAACCATAAACAAATAGTGGCATTATCCGAAACCAAGGTAAACTGTCTTTACTTGTTATTCATTTATATATAAATAAGACAATATTTGGTTTTAGTTAAAAGGTTAACCATCTCTACTTGTCAGCGGATGAAACTGTTGGCTAACAGGTTAATTATGTTTTGACTGATGATAGTGGAGGACTACAAGTGCTACACTCTTGTTATTCTTCATTTGAGTTACACGTGAAAAATTAGTTACTTTTGAGGTAATTTTTTATAACAGATTGACGTTAAAAATTCTTCTTCTTAGTCGCAGGATATTTCAGAGAAGATGAAAATTTTAAAACTAGTTTCCTGGAATTCTGTGAGTTCCGGAACTTGGATAAGGCATCCTTTCAGTATTAGGTGATGTTTTCAGGGTGTCCTGCAGTGTTTAGTGGACATTAACAGATATTCTTATACTCATTTTGTTATACTTTGAATTCCTATTCAATAAATGTCTCCAAAACTAACAAAAATAAGTGGTTTTATTGTTTATAAGCGGGTAGTGAACTGACTAGAACGTTTTTCTCTAATTCAGGTGAAAAATAACTCGAGTTATCTTTTATTTGGAGTAATTACTTTGTTCAGTGGATAGAGACATTTATTAAGGTATCATTTAATAAGGACTGTATATTTAACTGCTAGCTATTTAACTTTTACTTATAACGTTTTAAAGTTTCTTATTTCAAAATTTTGTTTTTCAAATGACATCGTTTCATGCGTTAAGCACAGTGTTCATTCAAGTGGAGAGTAATTCATATTTTACGGAAGGATAGGCTGTTGCAATATATGTGCATTAATCACTCAACAAGCAAGATGATGACTATATAAATCTAAGTTTTTAAAATTCCCTCATCTTGATCTGCAGTTAGATGTTGCATACAACCTTCAAGTTTTGTGGGGACAAACAATCTCTCATTTTTACTGTAATTAAGTAAGAAAGTCAAGTCTTGTGTTTTATAATTTTAACACAACTAGAATTTCTGTTCGGCCCTATGTTCCTCTAGGAATTAAAGGAAATAATAATAATAATAATAAAGAATTTCTGTTCAACTAGAGCTCGATAATGTGTGAAGTATTAGAAACTAATGATTGGACATAGATGAAATTTATTCTCTCTTCACAGTTTGTCTTAATATCACTGCACATGTGTTCACTTTTTCCGTGAGCTTCCTCGGAGTACGACTAAATGAACGAATACGCTTATTTGTGAGGTTCTGCAGAGATCTACCTATTTGTTTAGAAGTAGTATCATAGTTAAGTTAGCTGTTATTTTTATTCCCTTGGGTTCCAAGTGAAACAAGAAGCTTCAGAAGCACATCTCCATTCAACCCGTTCACTAGCGTCTTTTTAAGCCAGCTCAGCGATTGCTCATAGGCTTTCATTTCCTCTTCCCATGATCTACCACTCTGAGACCGATACCCAACTTGTTATTTCTCATCCAAGTTTCAATGTAGGGCCTGAAGGTGATATTTCTCAGTGATCTCATCAGAGCATGTCCATTTCCTCTGAAATATTTGTTGTTGTTGCTGATTCTATCTGGCCATTTAATCTTCAGTATGGAGCACAGGTGTTGTTGGTAAAAGTCTACAGTTTGTTGAAAATACTTTCCGTTACCAACCGAGTCACCGAACTATATGGAAGTACTGACTTAATATTGGTGTCAGGAATTCAATTAAGCTGGCTGTACACATATTTTCTAAGGCACGATTTTCTTATTTCACTATGAATTATTACATTTGTACAGACGTATGGTCGAAATGAAAGTCAGATAAAGTAACATATTCATATTTATTTTTTTCCGATAGATAATTGTAATTATTTAATTTATCAAAATAATAAATTTGCGTGAGTTTTCCTTATTATAACTCAACAGAGAGAAAGTAGCTTAAAAGTAGTCAGCCTAATAGTAGTTTTTATTGTGAAACACTAAAAATGCCTTCACAGCAACAATTTTGTTTGATGTTAGGTGGTTGGAGACAGTCGACAGGAAACCTTAGGCCTGGATTGGTGTTGTTAGCAGTCGTTAGAAAGGTGTATCTCCAGTCTTGGAGAAACTCATATCCCCTCTGAAATCCAGAACTGGGTCATTCGGTGCTCCAATCAGAGACTTTACTGCTGAACAGTTGAAGTTTGTCGTTAATCTCCTGTAGGAGTGTAACGGGTACATTGACTAGACACTAGATAGTAATTAATGCGATGCGTCTAGTTCTTCATTTCCTGCTGGTTCAATTCTTTTTTATTTTAATTCACAAAAGGGTATGAAAATATAGTTTCTTATTCAAGAAATGATTTTACTGTGTTGAGAAACTTTTATTTTACTTTGAATTTATTATCATATATATATTTGTGCATATATTAATATACATTCTTGCTTTATGATTTTAGTAAAATTTCGAAAAGTGTTCAAACATCATTTAAATTGAAAAAGAATATTTCTTCAAGCCATAATTTATCTACAGAGAAAGATATCTATGCAAATTCATTGAAATTATCTCCAACTGATACTTTAACTCATTTACATATTCCACAGTATAGACCGTTACCTGCGCATAAATTAGGCATTATCTCTGAAGATTTATCATCGGCATTTCCAGTTTTAGATTTTACATTCCAACAAAAACATCGCGACCAAAATCAACAGCAGCATCAAAGTATATCAGCGTCTGCAGCATCGTCATCCTCAGGAACAGGATCGACAGCAGTCACAATTTATACAACAACAGTGTTATCACCTTCAGTAATCAACACATCTCTAACAAACTATGAATCTCAACAAACGAACATCTATGATAACTCTCTAACACACTCATATGAGAAGAGTTCCATACGATTAATGTTAAGTGAGAATGCAAATCAAAATTATCCTATTGTATACTATAATCAAAAGGTGTGTGATTATAATAAATATTTTCCAGAGCAATCTATTGCTTTAACAGATCGTAGTATTGTCAGTAAGCAAGATCAGTCATCTACAGCTAAATTTTCTTATCCTGGTGGTGATTCAGGTATGTTACTCCTTTATGATTTTATCACTTTTTTGTTTTATTACTTTTTTAATTGGATATTGTATTAAAAAATACTTTGTGAGAGTGGATTAGTGAATATTTCTAGAATCAAAGTTATTCGTTTACTGGTTCCTCTTTTCCTAAAATTGCTTTAGTCATTAGTGTTGAACTGTGTTCGGACACATTCTTGCATAAATAAATTAGCAGTTCCACTTATACAATACAATAACAATAATAATAACATCTTTATTCTGGACAGTACTTATAAAATGTACAAAATTTTCAGAGAAGTCAACTGCATGATATTTTCCCCTAGTACAATATATTCAAGTAAAATATTAATTGACAGTTTATCCTGTAACACAATGCTCTCTGAGCTGATGAAGCACAAACCATTCCATTATGATATTTCTGCTTTGTCTCCATTAAGAAATCCAAGATATCTGGTTGAAAGCCAATTGTAAGATGTTTAGAATTACATTTTGAGACACAAGAACATAACTGAAGAGTAGTTATCTCATATATTGATCGGAACACGTTGCCATCCTCAGTCAGGCCGTTCCTCGAGTTAATAAGGAAATTGCGAGTCAGGAGTTTGTAAACATTTTAAATATATACAGTAGTAGATAATACCAGTAGAGGTCATATCTTAACCGGCTAGAACAAACTGAATAAGAGAAAAAAATGCAATGGAGAGATGGGAGATTTTGGTTGCCCAGGTCTTAAGCAGGCCGCCGGAGACAGAATGAATAATTCGATCCAGGAATCTAGGTAAAGGGTAAAGGTATAGCTTAAAGATTTAAGAGATCATGTGGTAATTTTACTCGGAAGGCTAGGGAGTTACATGCGAACGGTGATTACAATAACTGATAAAGAAAGGAAAAAGTGATTTAGGTGTAAGATGAGAAAATGTGAATTACAGTCAAATGTAATGAACTGTAGCCACTGAAATAAAAAAACCCAGTAAAGGTAGTTAGTTAGGAAAGAAGAAAAGACCACATTCTCAAAATTCCTTTGAAAACACAAATATTATACTGAAATTACCAAACTGCTGTCGAATATGAAAGTCTTAGTCAGTTTCTGTTTTATTATTAATTAACAATTCTAAACGATTGATTAATGAACAAAGAATGTTCTTTTTGATTAATTTGTCGTCAGGTTCTACATTTATATGACAGTAAAAATTGACAAAAAACATCAGTAAGAGATAATATACGCCGATATAACACTGAATTGAATATATCAAATAAATTAAGGGAAGTAACAAAAATTTATGAATTTATAGGATTGACAGCAGGCCAGGGTAGCAAAAGTGGTTGGATCTGCTTCTTTTACTCATAAAGCTCCAGTTGATTTGAACGAATTACAGATGACAGAGAAGACTCTTTAGTGCTAGCTTTGTAACTTGTTTAGCCGAGGTGATTCAACATAGAACTGTCGACGGTCTTAACAGCGACTTTATTTAAGCACACTGGTAGGTGTTTCCAAGCACCAAAACTAGGTTCCTAGAGAAACGACTAATACAACTGACTCCACAAAAGCAGTTGAGTTGACAGATGCAGTTAGAGGTGGTTAGTCTAGTTATTTTATTTTTCAGTTGAGGAATCACAACTGGTTGTGTGATTATTTTATTCATAACATTTACTGTGTGTTTTATGTATACAGTTAAGACATTTCCTGTCTTCTGTCATCTGTGTGTCGGTGGCACAGTGGTTACGACGTTCGCCGACCGTGCACATGGTTCAGGGTTCGATCCCCTGCCGACGCACACCTGATATCTATGGTCGGCCTGCAAAATTGGGGCTACCGATATCACATGCTGAAAATTCCATACCTGTACCGAAAAATACGGTGTGGAATCAAGCTGTAATAAAAAAAAATAAAATTAAGTATTTTTTATGCGTATGCTTAACAAGACGAACTAAGTTTTATTTCTTTACGTTAACAGGTGTGGATACAGTTTAAGTTTGAAAGTTTTAATTACTCAGTACTAAGTTTTACATAATCAGATTAACTTTGTAGGTAATTGTTTTGCCATATTCACTTATTTAAGCTTGTTTTATATCTGACTATGATTGTTATTAGTACGTTTAAACTCACAATTCTGGACACTGTAAACTTGATGCTGACTTCTTCTGTATATATGAAACGTATTAGGGATTGTAAGTTTTATGTGAACTACGTTTTGTTACAATTGATTATATTTCAACAAGCGATTACATATAACTGCCCTTTTTGATTGTGTCACTGTTCGACTGTGTTTCAGAAGATGATTAAACAGAAAAAGGAAACTTTTGTGAGAAAGTAAATTATATCAAATATTAAAGACATACACTCACACAAGAAATACATAAATATATATATATATAGTTTCAGAGAACTAAATTTGTCCTCATATTCTCCCTTTTATGACTTTGAAACAAAGTAAGTTTATAAATAGGCCGGCATAATGACAGCTGTAAAGTGCGCCAAGTACTAAACGATAGAATGAAGCGAAATCAAACAGTCCCATGAAAGTGAATTACACTGTTTTTAATACTTAAGATGTAGGCAAATACACACTTGAAAAAGACGGTGATTTATTCATAAAAGTAATAAGCTTCCAGCCAAAGACTGCATTTGCTTGTAAACTAATCATAAATACTTTCACGTCATAAGCCAAACAGTAAAGAGGGGGATGTATTCTGTCAGAAGCTGTTTCCCACTCAGTCTCATGACTCCTAGTTGACAGAGGAACTGAAATAGAAGTTATTTATAAAAGCTTACCACTTCAGTTTATTAGAGTCTCTAAAAAAACCTAAATAAATTTTAGCTAAAATTCGACAACAATGAAGCAATAAGCAAGAATTTGAATAGAACAAGAACCAATACATGTAGATTACTAGAATGTTCGGTGGCATAGCGGTTAGGACGCTCGCTGACCATGCACATGGTTCAGGGTTCAATCCCCGGCCGGCGCACTCCTTTACCTCGCTAAGCCAGAAATAATGCTGGTGAAGAGGAAAGGTTGGGCATGAGGCTAGCAAGCCCATCCTGTAAAATAAACACTGCTACAGAAACTTCAAGTCGCTAGCTTGATGCCCTATGTTCCACTGGGGAACGAGAAGGATAAAAAAACTAGAATGTTCAGGATATGGTGGAGAACAAAGCCTGAATAGAACTGTACAAAGTTTTGCGTACTGTAATTATGTTTTATGGAGGCATAGTGTTTGACAGTAGATAAATATTTCAGCATAACTCCTTCCGAAGTGAAATACTGTAGATCTCAATAGCTGTAAGATTCACGAAATCTGAGGACACTTTAATGTTGAAAATAAAAGCTATCGTTAGTCAACCCATTAGTTCAGCTGTTAGTAAACATTGTAGCTTAAAAGCTGTTTAAGACTTAAGTTGTAATACTTTCTGCTAAACTCAATGATGGCATTAAAGTACTTTTTGAGTGACTATTCAACCAAGTTATATCTCAGAAAATCAGGATTACTTTAGGCTTAGTTAAGAAAACAACTTAATAATTAATTGACAGACAATATAGAAGAGACACGAGCAAAGGCTATCACACATCAATTTCAAAACATGAAAGTTAGCTAACTAATCTATTCATATCAACAAATTAAGCGGAAGGTTCTGAGGATAATCTTTTTGTTTTTATTATTAGGTTAAAATGTAATCCGTAAATAATCCAGATTGGTGAATATTAAGGTACACATCTTTATTGAGTTGTTGTCAAATAATATATTATTTTTCATAATCCTTTTGTCTAAGTATTTGCTGATGTAAAAGAGGTGTCTTATTATTTTTTAAGTGTATACTTGAAGTTGGAATGAGTATTTTTGTCAGAAAAGTGAAATCCTGTGAAATATATTAGGCACTATGTAACTGGTTTTCCTAACGGAAAATACTGTCTGTTTTGGTGGAAGTTGACTGACTGACAGTGGAATTCGGGAAGCACATTTCATCTCATTGCAGAATTTATTCGCAATCCCACTGAGATTCGAACTCAACACCCATCTTTTCGAACGCTAAAGCGTTATCTACTAGGCCACTTGGTCGACGAGATCCATCTGTTGTACAACGGTTATTAGTAATTACTTGTTTAAGTTAATTTTGTAAATAGTATCCGGTTTAAAAATTATACCCTGGACTAAACTGGCACAACGGAAGGTGATTTTTCACTTTTCGCATTCACTAAATAGGCTAAACTATATTCTCTGTGCAGTTAAACTGAACATGAAAGTTTACTTCAGGACTCGAACACTAGTTAGAATACGGTTAACCATATCACTCTGACGCGCCGAAGAGAAGCTCAAAGGAAGTATACACAGCTCAGTTTTTAAGGCGAATGTATTGCTGTACGTTGATGAGATGTTCACATTTTGTAGAGTTTTGAAATATTTATATAGTGTTGATTACTTATTGGGAGGTTCCATATACAAGATACTTTTTAGTAGTGAATAAAATATTAACAGATTTGCTTTATTACAACTGTTCTTCAAGTGGTGATAATAGAAGTTTCGTGTCAAAGTAATTAACAATTCTTTAAAATCCTACTGGGAAAATAAATCTTTTCAAGTTTCTCTAGAGTTTTATTTTGTCCCAAAATGCAGTTGTTTAAAACAAAGTAGTATTTACTGAATAAAGGACTGAACTAGCCAACTCTTACCTTAATATAAGCATACTGAATTAACAATATTATGATTTTACATTCGTCTGCTGTTAATAGAAGTATTAAAAATGCATTTTTCGTCCCTTTTAAGTCTGTTCAGATTGGCAAAGCTTCATTCAAATGATAGTCTTTTTTAATTGAAACTTGAAGTCTGTGTCCAATACTTCATGTGTCAAGGTGTTATTTACTGTTCTATTGATTTTAATGAGAAATTCTTTTTATGGCATTTGTATGAATTCTTGTCAGTCTTTTGTACGTCTAACCAAAGTCATCATAAAACAGCAACAATCTTATCTCACACTGGGTTGGTGTGAGCCATGTAAGGTGGTATAGGCTT